TGTTTTGTAGTTTTAGTAGAGACGGGGTTTCACCATGTTGACCAGGATGGTCTCGATCTCTTGACCTTGTGATCCACCCGCCTCGGAGTCCCAAAGTGCTGGGATTACAGGCTTGAGCCACCACGCCCGGCCTATTTATGCGTTTTTTATTTACTTAACTCCTAAATCGTGGGTCCTCTAGCCTCGGCTTTTTTTCTTTCTTTCGTTAGAGTCACTCCATATTTGTAATATTTGATTTTGTGCTGCCTTTGATTTTTGTACTCTTGGACTGGCTTCATCAATATTCATATATTACCATTGGGACTAGGGCCCCGGGCCCTTCCTGGAGCATGAGGTATTTGTCCCACAGTTAGCAATACAGGAAGAATGTGAGTGTGCTAATGCTTCTTCCCTGTTGGGACCATGAGCATCTGTGGTATTTATGCTTCTCCTCTCCTCTTTATACATGTGTGTGCACCTACACATTCACATACACATACACACAGAATTTCTTACCAATTGATATGTGCTTATACCTTGTGTAAAACGACAAGATCTCGAGGTGATGGATACCCCATTTACCATGATATGATCATTATGCATTGTATGCCCATATCAAAATATACTCATGTACCCCATAAATATATACTATGTACCCACAAAAACTTTAAACTTTTTAAAAATGACAAGATCAAAATTCTAGCAGCTAAACAGTTCCTCATTTTGACCTTTACTAATTGGGATATGAATCTTCCTCTTTTGAGTGAAGGTGATTTCCAAAAACATTCAGAAATAGGAATCTTAGAGAAGAGACTCTTTGAGCCGGGCACAGTGACTCAGGCCTGTAATCCCAGCACTTTGGGAGGCTGAAGCAGGCGGATTGCCTGAGCTCAGGAGTCCGAGACCAGCCTGGGCAACACAGTGAAACCCCATCTCTACTAAAATACAACAGATTAGCCAGGCGTGTCAGCATGCACCTGTAGTCCCAGCTACTAGGGAGGCTGAGGCAGGAGAATTGCAAGAACCCAGGAGGCAGAGGTTGCAGTGAGCCAAGATCTCGCCACTGTACTCCAACCTGGGCAACAGAGTGAGACTCCATCTCAAAAAAGAAAAGAAAGGAGACTCTTTGAGGAGAAAGCCTTGCCATTTTTCTCAGTGCTGACTTGGTCATTATCCAGAGCTCTTCCCACATGAAAGGGAGGGATCTAGTTGTGTTTATAGGTATGGTCCCCAGTGCTTCTTATTGTTTCATGTCTGTATTTTCTTCCACTCCATTTTGTTCCCTCCATCTGTAACTTCCTTTACTAGCTGGAACCTCTCTCTTCTCTCCTCACACTCAGATTACAGTTGACCCTATTTAAGGGGAACAGATCCAGTAATGGTTTGTATTGTTATACTGTGACTACATGATGATATAGTCACATGCTTGTAATATATTTAGGATAAATCTCTTTGAGATTTTAGTTCAAGATCTCTAATACCATTTTCATCTTTAGAAATGGGGCTAAAGGCAGGGCATGGTGGCTCATGCCTGTAATTCCAACACTGGGATGCCGAAGCAGGTGCATCATTTGAGCCCAGGGGTTCAAGACCAGCCTGGGCAACATAGCTAGACCCTGAATCTACAAAATAAAAAAAAAAATTAGCCGGGCCAGGTGCAGTGACTCACGCCTGTAATCCTAACACTTTGGGAGGCTGAGACAGATGGATCCCTTAAGCTCAGGAGTTTCAGACCAGCCTGGGCGACATGAAAAACCCACATCTACCAAAAATACAAAAATTAGCCAGGTATGGTGGCATGTGCCTGTTTGTCCCAGCTACTTGGGAGGCTAAGATGGGAGGATTATATGAGCCTATGAAGTAAAGGTTGCAGTGAGCCAGGATGGCACCACTGCATTCCAGCCTAGGTGGCAGAGCCAGACCCTTTCCCTATAACAACAACACAAGAAAATTAGCCAGGTGTGGTGGCACACACCTATAGTCCTACCTTCTTGGGAGGCTGAGGCAGGAGATCACTTGAGCCCAGGAGTTTGAGGCTACAGTGAGCTATGATTTTGCCAGTGTACTCCAGCCTAGACAACAGAACAAGACTCTGTCTCAAAAGAAAAAAAAAAGAAAAGAGCCAGCCATGGTGGCTCATGCCTATAATCCCAACAGTTTCAGAAGCCAAGGCAGGAGGATTGCTTGAACCTAAGAGTTTGATACCAGCCTGGGCAACATAGGCAGACCCCTCTCTCTACAAAAAGTCAAAATATTAGCTGAGCATAGTAGCACACACCTGTGGTCCCAACTACTAGGGAGGCTGAGGTGGGAGCATCACTTGAGCCCAAGAGATCAAGGCTGCAGTAAGCTGTGAGTACATCACTGCACTCAAGCCTGGATGACATATCAAAACCCTGTCTCAAAAAAAAGAAAAGGGGCTGGGCACAGTGGCTCATGCCTGTAATTCCAGCACTTTAGAAGGCCAAGGCAGGTGGATCACTGGAGGTCAGGAGTTTGAGACCAGCCTGGCCAACATGGTGAAACCCCCATGTCTACTAAAAATACAAAAATTAGCCAGGCATAGTGGCATGCGCCTATAATCCAGCTACTTAGGAGGCTGAGACAGGAGAATCACTTGAACCCAGGACACAGAGGTTGCAATGAGCTGAGATCATACCACAGCACTCGAGCCTGGGCGACAGTGAGACTCCATCTCGAAAAAAAAAAAGGGGGTAGAAGGAAAATGAAAAGTAATACTCTATGCATTTAGGAAAATATGAATATTTAAAATAATTTAAAAACTAATTTGCTAATTTGTCATCTAATAATTCAAACATGTTTAGGTATATTGTTTACGACGTAAAACAATTTTTCTATAAATGATAATTTTGTTTTGATTATTGAAATTCATACAGTATATATTTACTAGAATTCATTTAATCTTATAATAAACTGTGTATTGCTTTGTTACTTAATAATTCAAGGTGGGGCTGGGCACGGTGGCTCACACCTATAACCCCAGCAATTTGGGAGATCAGGAGTTCCAGACCAGCCTGGCCAACATGGCAAAACCCCGTCTCTACTGAAAATACAAAAATTAGATGGGCTTAGTGGCATGCGCCTGTAATCATAGCTATTGGGAGGGGAGGGAGCACGGCTGAGGTAGGAGGTTCACTTGAGCCCAGGAGGCAGAGGTTGCAGTGAGCTGAGATTGTGCCACTGTACTCCAGCCTGGGTGGCAGAGTGAGACCTCGTCTCAAAAAAAAAAAAAAAAAAAAAATCAAATGGAAATATTCTTTTCTCATATTTCAAATCAAATAATTCAGAATCAGAACCCAATGTTTGATGTCTGAAATCCCAAACAGTTCCAGTGATTGTACTCATGGAACATGAGGGCTCACTTTGGGGTCATCTGGGGGACCATGCTTCTGGTGGCTCCTATAGTGGGCCCAACTACGGCTTGATAACCTGCTTGTTCTAAAATCATACTGTTTGTTGTTTGTCCATATGCTGCCTTCCTCTAGGACTTCTAGCAGCAGAAAGTAGGTATCCCTTTGTTTTCCTTTAAGGTGTATCTTTTATGCAAAAGTGTTTGGCTTTGCATGGTTTATAATCAGCTTGACTTTTTCCTTGGCTGTTTGTGTTTAGATGTTTACATATTAATTTTAACACTGCTGGATCATACAATTAAAACTTGGATATATTGATTTTTGAGGCATTGTTACTCAAATAATATTAACTTCTTACTTCTTTCATAAGAGGAAAAAAGGCAGTGTTAAAATTTCAACCACACTTAATACTTCACATCTGAATTTCACATAGAAATACATTAATTCTGGGGAAAGGGTAATATTTCTTTTATAGTTTGCTTTCAAGAAAACTTTCAGGGTAAGTGAATTTTTCTTTGACAATTACATCACCTATAAGTGATCTTTATTGCTTTCTGTTACTGAGTCAATTTTCAGTTTATTAATTTGGAGCTATGAATTAAACTCTGAAATCATATCTCTTAACTTTTACCATCAGATAGAACATTTATAAGGAATAATGTAATGACTAGATTTTTAATTACAAAGGGACATAATTTGAGTATGGGAGAAAACTAAAATGTAAGGAATGTACACACAGATGAGTACATGTAAAACTGAGGCAATCTGAATGAGATGGGTGGATTGTATCAATGTCAGTATTCTGGTTATGATGATATACTATAGGTTTGTAAAATGTTACCAACAGGGGAACTGAGCAAAGAACACAAGGGATCTCTATATTATTTCTTACAAGTGCATGTGGATCCATAATTATGTCAATAAAAATTCTAATTAAAAAAATAAACCTTGACCTCAAAGATAAATGAGAAAGCCTGGGTACTAATGATTGAATTCATTTTCACATTTTCTTACATTAGTTATCTGTAGCTCAAATTGCAGCTGATGTAATATAAATCTTACAGTATATTAGTTACCTGTTGCTGGGTAATGAGTTACCTCAAAGCAGCAGTTGTCATCTCAGTTTCTGTGGGTTGGCAATCTGGGCGTGGCTTAGCTGTGTGCGTCTGGCTCAAGGTCTCTGATGAGATTGTGGTCCAGTGCTGTTATCTCACCGGAAGGCACGACTGCAGGAGGAATCCTCTTCCAGGCTCACTCACGTGGTTGTTGCCAGGCTTCAGTTCGTCACTGGCTGTGGACCTCTTCACAGGGCTGGCTGTTCACAGCATGGTAGCTCACTTCCCAGTGTAAAAGATAAAAAAGAGGGCAAAAGTGAGAGAGAATGCCCAAGACAGAAGACATAGTCTTTACAATCTAATCTCATAGTGACATCCTATCACTTCTGGGGAGGGGATTGATTACACAAGGGTGAAAATACCAGGAGACCAGGTTACTGGGGCCCATCTTAGAGGATGCCTACCACAAACAAATTAATAACTATTAAAATGTAAGATTCTTCCTAGATTTAGCATTCTTTTTTTTTTAAATCAGCAGACCTGTCATGTTATTTGGGAATGGGCATGATCTTCCTTAGTTGTAAAGCTTTACACAAGTGGACACTTAACAGCTAGCAGAATGTTATTAAAGTACTTTGAAAAATTTGAGCGTGAAGATGTTTCTATTTGGAAGCATAGACTATTTTAATAATCATAATGGCATTAGAGATTATAGCATCTATATTCTGACAGAATACATATGCAGAGCTTACTTCCTTTAATAAAATTCAAGGTGTCTATATCATAATCTACACATACAATGTACACTTAAATGATGAATTTTGACTTAGTACACCTTAGTAAGCAGATTTAAAAAAAAAATTATCGTGTTTGCAAGGAGGGTCTTTGATTCAGTAGGTAATAAGAATGTATGTGTGTGTAGTAAAATAATGTATTAATTCATCACTAATATAATCAAACAAAAGGTATTGATTACTCTTCAGAAGAAGCCAGGCTAGATTCAGATTCTAGATTTGCTCAGTGATGCTGAGTTTTGTAGCTATACATGGTAAATTAAGAAATACACACATACTGAGGATTTAATGTGTTATTTTGCGAAAATCTGAGATACAGGAATGGGATTTAATGATCCCAACTGTCATCCATCTGAAAAACCTAACTTTTGGTTTTAAATAAAATGGCATGCTGTCTTCCACTATTCCCTTTTAAAAACAGGAACTGCCCCTGCTTTTAACTTTATGAAGTTTTATTTATGAACAAAGTTTGTACTATTTAAAGGAAAGAAATCCGCACACAAATCTTTATTGAAACAATTACAGTGAAAACATGGGTGTGTCAAAACTCATGGAATGGTATACTTAAGATTTGTGTATTTCATTCTATGTAAATATTTCCTCAGAAAAAAGTATTGCAATCTTTGTTGAAGTCTTTAAGGGTGAAGTGTACTCATGCTGGTCACTCTGCCATTTACTTTGAAGTGAATGAAAAATACATGAACTGATAGATGGATAGATGGGCAGACATGTGATAAAGCAAATACAGCAAACCATCAACATATGTAGGATCTAGGTGGTGGGCACAGTTCTTTCGAACTTTCTGTATGTTTGAAGCTTTTCGTAGTAAAATGTAAGGGGAATAAGTTTTAAGACAGACTCAGCCGACTTTAACACTGAGAACTTTTTAGTCTAAACATTTGGCTGTTTATTTTTCTGTCCTCCTTTTGGGTTATTTTTACTTGGTCAACTTTTTTATGAGACTTCCACTCTTGTAATGAAATTATTCTAAACTCAAAGCTTTTATTGACCTTAAAAGCATATTCCTCTTTAAAGAAATAGACTTAGAAACATTTTTTTAAACAGTTGACATATTTATGCTTTTTTTTGACTATTATTTCATAATAGTAGCAGAAAACTTTTGAAAAATTTGTTTGTACCAGTGAGGTTATTTGAAAAAGTGAAGTGTTCAAAGCTAAAATGTGCAGTCCAGTCATGATGACTCATGTTTTGAATCCCAGCACTTTGGGAGGCCAGGGTGGGAGGATTGCTTGAGGCCAGGAAATTTGAGATCAGCCTGCACAACATAGTGAGACCCCATCTCTATTAAAAAAAAAAAAAAAAGTGTGATTATAAATCTGATTTTTAGGTATAAACTTGATTACCAAATTAATTATGAAAACAAAATACTATTCTGAAGGCAGAGCATGATGTTATCTAATAAATTCATGAATATGAAAATTTAGACCAAGGGCTACAAAAAAGCCTTATGTGGTAAATCAAATTGAGATTAAAGAGAGAATAGAAATTGTACATCAACTCATTACCAAATGCAAATTATTCTGGCGCATTGCTGAGAATAAAACATGATTTTGAGGGTGGTGGATAGTCTGTTATGGAAGAAACACTGAATTAGGAGTCAGAGACCTGGGTTCTAGGATTTGCTCTTCTGTTCATTGCCTGTGGCCCTTTGAAAGGTTATTTAACCCTACTAAGCCTCTGATTTTTCAAATATAAAAATCCCTGCTGACCAAGCACGGTGGCTCATGCCTATAATCCCAGCACTTTGCGAGGCTGAGGTGGAAGGACTGCTTGAGCCCAGGAGTTTGAGAGTAACCTGGGCAACAGAGAGAGATCCCATCTCTACAAAAAACTTTTTAAAAATTAGCTGGGCATGGTAGCGTGTCTCTAGTCCCAACTGTTTGGAAGGCTGGGGTGGAAAGATCGCTCAAGGCCAGAAGGTCGAGGCTACAGTAAGCTGGGATCGTGCCACTGCACTCCAGCCTAGGGGACAGAGCAATATCCTGTCTCAAAACAAAACAAAACAAAAACAAAAAGCACTTGCCTGCAGGACAGGGTTATTATGGAATCACATAAGGTAGTAGGTGTAAAAGCACTTTGGAAATTATTAGCTGTTAATACAAATATAAGTATTAAAATAATTTCAACTGTAGCTTTAAGGAAACAGTACTATGAAAGAAATTGTTTTCTGTGGTTAAGTCTTTCTCACTTTATTTTCAAATCTTCAGAATTTGCTCAGGAAAAAAATCATTTTAATCAAGGACCATTTTATGAAGCATCTTTTGGTAAAAAGCACTCTGCAAAGTATACCCCAGAATAGAAAGGTGAATAGGATACCTACAGTCCTGCCATTAAATCAGCTGCCCTCTGAAGTGAACTTGTATACTTTTTATTGATTGATTTTGTTTTCAAGATAGTTAAAAGTTTATTCAGAGGTTTTATAGGAAAAACATTCTTTTTAGTCTTCGAGAAAAATAAATAGTTCTTTTATATGTGACAGTATTGATCTACAAAATGAAAACTAGTAACAGCTTAATTAGCATGTGCTACATGTGTTATATTAATAATCACTACTGCCTTGGCGTTTAAAATCTAAAACAAATAGCAGTGGAAAAGCCCAAGAAGTGCCTTAGTGTCTATTTATATTTTATAATGAATTGAAAAACCATGGGACTTTTAAATGGTTGGTACTGAACTACAGATACCAATTATACACACATCTATCCGACCAAGAATGTGTTCTGTGGTTCTCTTTATCATACCCAAAGAAAGAAATAACGGAACTAGAACAGGTGTTAATGGAAGGTGTTAAAAAGATCAAGGGTGAAGACAGATTTTGAGGTTAAGCCAAAAATATGTGTTTATTCCATTTGAAAAGATTAAGGAAAAATGGAATAAACACTCTAATTTTTCTACCTAATTACAGAAACTTAAAATTCGGGGCACTTTTTAGAGCTTGAAATAAACAACTTGAGTACAACTAGAGAAGTGCTTCTTTTCATGATTGAAAACCCATCAAGTTAATCATATTTGGATACAAGATAAGACTATAAATCAGTTCAGAATGGGTGACAGACCTGTTGGAATTGTGAGTCTTGCCTACTCTAAATGCCTGCTAGCAGATGCCTTTGTCCTTTCCAGCAAAGCATCTGCTGGTCCTGTCAACACAGCTTTGATCCTGTGTGGGGGTGGTGAATTCCTACTCATCCACCTCCTCTCTGCGGCTCCCCAACTTCTCCCTAGGCAGCCTGTGTATCAGTTTGTTTTTACCTCTTCTATATTGTTTACTTCAGGGTATAATATGCCTACTTCACATACCAGTTTGAGAGCCCCTTCCCTCAGGGCCAGGGATCATATCTCTGATTTCTCCGAAGCCCTGCCTAGTACCTAACAAAAAGCAGGAATATTCAATAAAGATTTGGATTATTGTCTGACCCAATAGGGCATTGTTCAAGTTCTTTTCCAAGGTAGGAGGAAGTGGATTGGGTCAATACCTCTTTAGGAATAGCAGGGGAGATGAGGACTGATTTCTGCCGTTTATCTGTTTTATCCCACTTAATATCCACTTCATGCTTTCAGTGAAAGGATACCAATAGCCTGGCAGACATAATTATTCAAAGTTAAAAATTATTCAGCCGGGCATGGTGGCTCACACCTGTAATCCCAGCACTTTGGGAAGTCAAGGCGGAAGGATCGCTTGAGCTCAGGAGTCTGAGACCAGCCTGGGCAACATGGCAAAACCCCATCTCTACAAAAAATACAAAAATTAGCGAAGAATGGCGGTGCACACCTGTAGTCCCAGCTACTCGGGGGGCTGAGGTGGGAGGATCATTTGAGCTCAGGAGGTTGAGGTTGCAGTGAGCTGAGATTGTGCCACTGCTCTCCAGCCTGGGCAACAGAGCAAGACCCTGCCTCAAAAAAAAAGAAATTATCCATAGTTCCTTCAACAGATGAATGGTCAAACAAACCGGTACATCCATGCAACAACCTGGATGAAGCCCCAGAGAATTATGCTGGGCGAAAAAATGCAGTCCCAAAAGGCTGCATACTCTGTGATTTCATTTATTGTTTTTATTTTTTAATTTATTTTTTAATTTTTAGAGGTACTGCTCCTTGCAGACCAGGGCTACCCCATAGGCCATTTGCCTGGAATAGCAGCCTCATTTATTACATTTATTATCAAAATGACAAAATTATAGAAATGGAGAACAGATTAGTAGTTTGCCATAGGTTAGGAGGCAATAGGATAGGAGGGAAATGAGCATGGCTATCCTTGTGGTAATGGAATGTTCTACAGCTTGACTGTATCAATGTCAATATCCAGGTTGTGATATTGTACTACAGTTTTACAAGATGTTACTGTTGGAGGAAACTGGTTTAATGGTACATGAGACCTTTGTGTTATTTTCTTTTACAACTGCATGTGAATCTACAATTACCTCAAAATAATTAAAAAATAGCTACAGTAACTTCCACATGGACAACCACACCTTCTATGGCTTAAGACTCAAATCTTTAACATAAATAGTGCTACAAAAATCAGTAGCTTACATAACAGTTTTGGTTTTTTTTTTTTTTTTGTTGAAAAACTTGGAAAGCATGAACAAGAGCAGAATGAAATAGAAATAGGCCAGTAAAGATAACTACTATAATATTTTTGATGTGTTTCATTCTGTTTTTTGTTTTTCCTGAGTTTGCATTTATGTTTGGTTTGGTTTTTTATAGTAACTGGGTATATACAGTTTATATAGTTCTACATTCTACTTTCTTGAATTCTATGTCATGAATTATCTATGTCTTTGAAATTCTTCAAAAACAATTTTCATTTGGCTACATATTCTATTATATGGATATTCTATGACCTGTGTAATCATCCTCTAATTATTATATTTATTTTCCTTTTTGTATGATAATATCATTATATATAAATATTCCATTTTTTTCCTTAAGGTAAGTTTTTGTAAATGGAATTACTAAATCGAAGTGCATGAACATTTTTAAGGCTTTTTGATATATGTTACCAGATTGCTTTCTAGAAAAGTGGTACTGATATATATTCTCACCAATAACTGCATGAGAATGGATGAGGTCTAAGGCAAGAAGAATTAAAAACAGAGTTCTGGAGCATAAAGATTTTTATCTTTATCAAAAATAGAATTTCTCAATCACAGTGCTACTGATACTTTGGGCCAGATAATTCTTTGTTGTAGGGGCTGTCCTGGGTATTGTAGGATATTTAGCAGTATCCTTGACCTCTACCCACTAGATAGCAATAATGGCCCTCCCGCTGTAGTTGTAACAACCAAAAATATCTCCAAACATTGGGAAATGTCCACCTGAGGAACAAAATTGCCCCTGGTTGAGAACCACTAATCCAAAGATTTAAATGTGCAGTGAGGCACTATTCTTAGAGTTTCTCTGCTGTGTACTAATGTTCTGAAGCTTAGCATCTTGGGGCCTTTTTTTGTGGAGTATGTATGTGTTTTCTGCATATTGTCTGCAGTGTAAAAGAGGCTAATCATTTCTTTAAGACTGTGTAAATGGCTTTGTTACTCCACAGTATGTATCTTTCCCTACTGACATCTGTCTGGTTTCCTGGTTATGAGAAGAAACTTAAAGTGATGGCACTTTCATTTGCTTTGCCCTACAAAAATGATTTGCCTCAAAATTTAATATGGTATTTGGAAGTGTCAGTCAGTGTATCTACCCTTTGTCTTTATCTTCTGAGTAAGAAGGATAAGAGTAAGACAGAATGAGAATGATTTGGGGTCTCTTGAGTGTATGTAAAGGAAAAAAAGGAGTGGCCTGGGATTTTTGTTAACTAAAGTTTGAGTCTTAAAAACTAACAAGCCTATTTTAAGCCGCAGGAGGTCTCAGTTGAAGGTCTGTTCACTGTATCTACAGCTGGCTTTACCTTCACTTCTTGATGGAATGCACCTGGGTAAAAGGCCAATCTTCTTTCTGTAATATTTCAAAACATCTTGGAGTCATGAAACCCATACTCTTTAACTGACATAAAATTTGCTGCATCCAGATCTCCTAGTGCTTCGGTTATACTTGATGAATTTCATTAATTCAAATAAGATAAGCTGCAGTTTCCTTTGGAAAATGAAGAGCACACAAATACATTGATAAGAACGTAAACTCTCTGAAAATACTCTGTCCTTAAAGATATGCAACTCATTTAAGTCTGTCCTTCAGTAAAGACACTAGCCTTTGAAGTTCTGACATGAATTCATTGCTCCTAAGAGATTTAGGTTACAAAAGTTCGTTTGACATTGACTTTCTGTACTGGCTGATTCTTTTCTGTTTGTCCCCCTTAGGAGCAGTCTCACAGGTGCTGGACAGCCTGGAAGAGATTCACGCACTTACAGACTGCAGTGAAAAGGACCTAGATTTTCTACATAGTGTTTTCCAGGATCAGCATCTTCACACACTACTAGATGTAAGCCTGTCTTTTTATTTTTCTTGTTTTTTGGTAAATTGAATATTTAGCATCTCTTTTTTCTTTATATGAATTATCAGATGTCCATCATAACAATCATCTTTAGTTGCCTTAAGTCTCTGAGAAATATGGTAAATCATCCAGCAAACATTCATTATTGAAATACAGTATATGGCCGGGCGCAGTGGCTCACACCTGTAATCCCAGCACTTTAGGAGGCCGAGACGGGCAGATCAACTGAGGTCGGGAGTTCAAGACCAGCCTGATGAACATGAAGAAACCCCCGTCTCTATTAAAAATACAAAATTAGCTGGGCATGGTGGCGCATGCCTGTAATCCCAGCTACTCAGGAGGTTGAGGCAGGAGAATCGCTAGAACCGGGGAGGCAGAGGTTGTAGTGAGCCGAGGTCACTGCACTCCAGCCTGGGCAACAAAAGTGAAACTCTCTCAAAAAAAAAGAAAGAAAGAAAAGAAATACAGTATGTATACAGTACAAATGCAGTAGAGCCTAGCAGGCTACAATGGGGAAAATTATATATCTTTATATTTATAAATTATATGTACATAATGCATGCAAGTGGCATGTGAGGGTTTTTTTTAACTTCTTTTTGTCCTGCTGTACAAGGTATGTGAGTTTTTAAAAAGAATAGAGTACAATCCTAATTTACTGAATTATCTTTATTTCTATTAGAAGAATTCATTGAGGTTAGCTTTGATTACTTTTTATTGCTTTGCACATTGTTTTAAAACATTATGTTTCCAGCATGAGTATAGGAGAGAAAAAAGCAAATGAGATATTGTGCAATAGGCTGGTTTCCCACACGCATTTCATATTTAACATTGTTTCGTTCCATAGACTCAGTGTCTTCTCCTTAAAACATAAGAATATACTCCATCTTTAAATATTACAGGCTCCACTGTCAGCAGACTGGGATACAAAGGAAAAAACAGAAGCTGACTATTTTCATTTCAGTCACATTTTAAATAAAATACCTTTCTTAGAGAACTTGGTTCACTTCAGCAGTGAAAACTCTTGGGTGGTTTTCTTT